GTAGCTCAAGTGGTAGAGTGCTCGCCTTGAGCTGAAGAGCTGAGGGACAGCGCCCAGGCCCAGAGTTCAAGCCCCATGACCGACAAAAAAAAAAAGAATTGAGTGATTCAAATATGTGAACAAACAGAAGCCTTATCACTTAGCATTCCAGTTTCAGGAATATTGTACACCCACAGGAAATGAAAACATATGTCCCTCAAAGACTTGCATGCAAATATTTATAGCAACATTATTCTTAATAACTGAAAAGTGGACATAGCTCATCTGTTCATCACTTGGTGAGTGGATAAACAAGTCTCATGAACCCACAAAGTAAAATAACAGTGATATAAGCAAGTTTATAAAGTAAATAGAATTTTGAAACAAGTGAAAAATATCAGATTCAAAGGACCACAAACTGTCTAATTCCACTTGTGTGACCTGTCCAGAAAAGGAAATTCCATAGGGGCCGAGTGGATTGTTGGCTGTCTGAGGCTGAGTCTAGAAATGGGTTGTGTCAGCAAAGGGGTCTTGAGGCATTACAGTGGGAGCTGCACAACTAGGCAAACTTACAAAAACTTGATTTGTTCACCTTTGGTTAATTTCTATGATTTAAAAGCTATACTGTGTGATTTTTAAAATAAGAAAACGAAACCCATTTATTGCAATAATCAGAAGTGTAATAGCTTTTTTCCTTCCAATTTGTAGATTTTTGCATTTTGAATATTGAGGGTGTCGCTCAATAGTATATGCTTACCTAGCATGAATGAGCATTTTTACTCAAAGCTAGTGCTCTACCATTTTGAGTCAAAGCTTCACTTCCAGTTTTCTAATAGTTAACTGGAGAGAAGAGTTTCTTGCCCAGGCTGGATTTGAAGTGCAGTCCTCAGCTCTCAGCCTCTTGAGTAACTAGGATTACAGGCATGAGCCACTAGCACCTGGCTGCATTCTGTTTTTTAGTGGTCAGTATTTACCCTGTTGTAATATAGTCCTCATAATTATATATCTACTGACTTAAATAGTTGAAAAGATACATCATAATTTATTCGTGTAGTTTCCTGATACTAGAGGTTGTGACTATCTCTGAGGATCTTACACATAGAACATTTTAGTCTCTTGAAATATTTTCCTAGGATCATTTACAGATTGAAAGGTATCAAAGGTATTTTTATGTCATCTTATTTTTTTCTAAATTATTTTCAGATATTTGTAGTAACTTACACTAGTGAGAAAAAAATTTTTTAAAAAACCTACCGTAAGTATTCAACCCTAGCTAAAAGTGAGCTTAGGCTAGACGTGGGAGTAAAGGCCTGTAATCCCAGCATAAGAGAAAGTGAGATAGAAGGATCAAAAGTTAAAGACCAGCCTCAGCCACATTGATTCTGGCTTTAAAAAAAATTAGTGAACTTGGCCATTTTGGTTTGATGTGAGTAGAAAGGAAGAAGTAGTAAAATGTAACAGATTAGTTTGAATTTATATTTTAGCATTTACTTTTCTGCAGAATCACAAGCAAGCGATATAACCTTCCTATGCCTCAGCATCCTGATCAGTAGAATGATGCCAACTCCTGTTTGTAGGTCAGTTTACAGGGATGAGCCACAGTGAATAGAATCTGGCACTGTGCCTGGTTTGTTATTAAAAGTAGATACACAGGAACAAAGTCCTTACTTAACCACATCGCTAACCTAGATTATACTCAGATGGAGGATGGTGATGGATAAACATTTTTTTCTTATTTCTTCATTTTTAGGTTTTTGATGTAACAAAAACTCCCCCTACCAAAGCCCTGCAACTCTGTACTCTTCTTCCCTATTATTCAGCTCGAGTGCTTGTGTGTGGAGGGGATGGGACTGTGGGCTGGGTCCTGGATGCAGTTGATGAAATGAAGATTAAGGTATCTTGTCTCTTAAATATTATACTACCATAATGGGGCTGAAGATGTGATTGCACTGTAGATAGTTGCCTACTATGCACAAGGCCCTGGGTTCGATCCTCAGCACCACAGGAAAGAAAAAAACCTACAGAAACACTTCTAAGTTAGATACATAGTATTTTTTATTAAGCAGGTGACTATCAGACATCATCACCAGAATAGAGAAGAATGAGTGCTGTGAGCCAGACGCCAGTGGCTCATGCCTGTAATCCGAGCTACTCAGAAGGCTGAGAACTGAGGATCACAATTCGAAGCCAACCTGGGCAGGAAAGTCTGTGAGACTCTTCAATAAACTACTCAGAAAAAGCCAAAAGTGGTGCTTTGGCTCAACTGATAGGACATGAGCGAAAAAGAGGCTCACAGACAGCACCCAGGCCCTGAGTTCCAATCCCAGGACTGGCAAAAAAGAGAGAGAGAGAGAGAGAGAGATGCTGTGATTAAGCAGTTAGCACTGTCTACAGTTGACACATGTGTAGTCTTTAAAATTTACAGATATTCTGCAGCTAGTCTAAAGAGAAAAATCTGAACTATTTATCTCCCATCCTTTAGGGACAAGAGAAATACATTCCACAGGTTGCAGTCCTGCCTCTGGGAACAGGAAATGATCTGTCTAATACCCTGGGTTGGGGTACGGGTTATGCTGGAGAAATCCCTGTTGCACAGGTCTTAAGAAATGTAATGGAAGCTGATGGAATCAAACTAGATCGGTAAGTTACAATTTGGGGGAGGAAATATATATATATATATATATATATATATATATATATATATTTCTTGTACATATATATGTATACACATATATATGTATATATGTGTGTGTATATATTTCTTGTACATATATATTTCTTGAACTTGGAAGATATTTGGTTTACAAATTAAGACTTGCCTAACTATAAAATGAGTTTAAATGTAAAAGACTATTAATAGTATTTGTTACACAGATACTGACATCTTGTTTAGTTATTCCATATAGTTCAGTCACAAATTATGCTCACTACTTCCACAAAGTTTGTATACCTACCTGAATGTGGTTACTTTCTCAAGTACTGTTTTAATAGAAAAACATCAGACATCCAGAACACAGTTTTTAATTGCAAAAATGACTTTTTTTTTAATACTTCTGTTTTTTAGATGGAAAGTTCAGGTAACAAATAAAGGATACTACAACCTAAGAAAACCCAAGGTATGTGCCAATCGCTTCCGTTGTGAGTAGTTTTGCGAACACTCATGGATGCTCACTGCACAAGACACAGTAGCATCTGGGAAGCATTCAGAGATCTAGGGTCTTGAGCCAGCTGCTTATGGAGCAGAAAAGATACCCATGTGCCCACCTCATTAACTGGACTGGATTTGGTGTTTTCTTTGTTATTGTTCCTGTGCTTTTTTGTTGTTGTTGTTGGGGATCAAACCCTGAGCATCTTGTGTTAGGCAAGCACTCTACCACTGAGCCACTTCCCCACGCTCCTAGCTGGACTGTATAAAACATGATATGGGAGAGATCGGAATACAAGTACACTTAGTTCTGTCTCGGTGTGCAGATCAGCGTGGGATGATTGCAGACAGGAAGCAGTCCTTAAATACAATATAGATTATCAGAGAAAGGTTAGCCAAGGACTTTCCAGGTAGAGGGATAGAGACAAGAAGGTGAAATGTGATTATTAGCAAATAACAAATATAACACAGAGATCTGTGGTCTTGGTTTTGTTTGGTACTGCAGATCAAACCCAGGGCCTCACTCATCTTGTAGGCAAGCACTCTATCACTAAGTTACACCCTCACCCAAAATCTGTGTTTTAAAAAGTTCTTTTAAAAGATAGTGTGAAAATACCCTAGAAGCCTATACAGGGTGAAACTATGGAAATTTTAGGATTAGACAACTCAAAGACATTTTAAAGTTTTGGGAGCTGATTGGTATAAAAAGGAAGAGAGAAAACATATAAAATTGAGCTGGGGGCAAGCAAAGGGAAGAGGAGGCTGATGTTTTGAATTTAAATTTTAAAATTAAAAAAACAATCTAAAGTACATAAAACAGGCCAGAACATGGCTCAAGTCGTGGCTCACTTGCCTCACATATGTGAGACCCCAGGTCCTGTCCCTAGTACTGCAAATATATACATATATTGCTACCAGATTCTAATTTTTATGGTTGACTTGTGGAAACACTAACCAAGATAAGAAAAATAGAATGTCTCGTCTCAGACTTGGGTAGGTTTGAGGAATACAACACAAAGAACTATGAAGTATTGAACAAGAAACTGGAAGTTTGGGCCCTTTAGTCAAGAACAAGAATAGTAAGTCATGTAGATTGAGGAATCTAGGTAGGTTGGGAAGAAGGATAGACTAAGGGAGTACCAGTAGCCTGTTGAAACTGATCGAGAGCCACAAAAAAGATAGAAGATAGAAAGCAAAAGCATTGAGAACACAGGAGTGAAAAACCTGGGTACAAAAATCAGAGCTGCTCTAGATGGTAAGGTCTAAGAGGTGACATGTTGTACAGAATTGGAAAGCAGGAGCTTGGAACTGAAGCTTTATTTATGGAACTTCAACAGGCAGTATAAATACAGATATTTGAAAAAACTAAATTCAGAAATTATTCACTACTCAGCTGGTCGCCGGTGTCTCACTCCCATAATCCTAGCTACTCAGGAGGCTGAGATCTGAGGATCACCGTTCAACGGAAACTCTGTGAGCCTCTTAGCTCCAATAAACCATTCAGAAAATTAGAAGTGGTGCTGTGGCTCAAGTGGTAGAGTGCTAGCCTTGAGCTGAAGAGCTGAGAGACAGCGTTCATATCCAGAGTTCAAGCCCCATGACCAACAAAAAAAAAAAAGGAAGTATTCAAGTATTCACTACTCAAAACGAACCTAGGAACTGACATTTGTATAATGAAGGTTGACACCAGCTTATATACAGGAGCATCATCTGTTGCTTATCCTCACTCTTCCACAGGAATTCACAATGAACAACTATTTTTCTATTGGACCCGATGCTCTCATGGCTCTCAATTTTCATGCTCATCGTGAGAAGGCACCGTCTCTGTTTTCCAGCAGAATTCTTAATAAGGTGTGTTGGATAAAATAACATTTCCTGCTTATCACCGAAGGTATAGTAAAAATCAACAGTTCAACTATATTTGGCACTCTTAGATTTAGATTGAACCAATTTATGGAAATAGCTTCCTGTTGTGTTTTGTGTAACCCGTTAGGTCTTCAAGTATATCTTATTAATAACTATAACAAAATGTTTAAAATTCAAAATTGGGATGTTCTAAGATATATTTTGCTTAGGTAAAAACTAAATGGAATATATGATAACTTTTTGTAAGTGGCAACTAAAATTGGAAAGAAATTTAAGCAAAATAAGTTTCTGGTTAAGTCATTAATGACACAGCATGCATTCCGTTGGTGTGGAGGAGCTGCCCAAGGCAGATTAGATAAGGACGGGGCAGCTGGCTCCCAGCAAGGTCATCACTCTGGTTTCCAGAATGGTTGATTCCTTTAATGGAAGTTTATAGAGGACTTTTTTAATGACTTTTAGTGATTGAGCAACATCATGTGAAAATCACAGTTTCCTGGTTTGCATTCCTGGTTCTCTTCGGTAAACTTCAGAATTTAAAGTATTTTTAATACCGTTATATTGCCAATACAGAGTATTGCCATTTATCAGCTCAGCATTTACTAACTCATTTATTAACTCAGCATTTTACTACTTCTGCCATTATTTCTGTACTTAAAAGTGATTATAAACTATTTATTAGAGTTACCTGCTACCTGCATTTTCCTTAAATAAGCTGAAGTGTTAGGAAAAAGTATAATTTTCTAGTTACAAAATAAAATTTCTTTTTTTTTGGGGGGGGGTCCAGTCGTGGGGCCTGAACTCTGGGCCTGGGTGCTATCCCTCAGCTCTTCAGCCCAAGGCTGAGCCATAGAGCCACTTCTGGCTTTTTTCTTTTTGCTTATGTGGTGCTGAGGAATCGAACCCAGGGCCTCATGCATGCTAGGCAAGTGCTGTACCACTGAGCCACCTTCCCAGCCCCACAAAATAAAATTTCTGCTGGGCATCAGTGGCTCATGCCTATAATCCTAGCTACTGAAGAGACTGAGATCAAGGTTCAAAGCCAGCCTGGGCAAGAAAGTCTATGAAACTCTTATCTCCCAAACCACTCAGAAAATCGGAAGTGGCATTGTGGTTCAAGTGGTAGAGCGCTAGCCTTAAGCTGAAGAGCTCAGGGACAGTGCCCAGGCCCAGAGTTGAGGCCCCACAACCACAAAAAAAAAGATTCTTTTTTTTAATAGAATGAATATTTTTTTGATAAATCAGGCAACATCACCATTTGAACACAAACTGGCTATGCTACATCCTTCTCCCCCCCACACACAAAAAAATCTAGTTTAACTGGAGTGATAGCTTTTGTTACTTTCTAAAGAGAGATGATTAATATTTTGACTGTTGTTACGGAGTTCATACAATAATTCTTAAGCCGTGAGTAGTGTGACAGGATGTAATGTTAAACTGGAAAAGATACATGCCATAAAAATTATGCAGGAAAAGCAGCCTTGGGCCCCTTCTATCCATCAGTGTCTAATAGGCAAGCAAGAAGCCTTGCTCATTTTTTCTTACAGTTTACAGGGTTTGTGAGAGAATTTTAATAGGATGTTTTTATCCATATTTCAGGCTGTTTATTTATTCTATGGAACCAAAGATTGTTTGGTACAAGAATGTAAAGATTTGAATAAAAAAGTTGAGGTAAGCTACTAACACCTTTTCTAAAGCTTTAGAGTAATTTCTGTATAATAAAGACTTTTGGTTTTACAAATGCTGAATTTTCTGTTATCATATTTTATTAATTTATTTGGAGAATTTGTGTGCCAAACACTCTGCTAAGTGCTTTGTCCACATTTTTTCCTCTGAATTCTTACCACAACCCCTTAAAGCAAATATTATTATAGTCTCATTATGCAGACAAGATAAACAGTTTGAAGCTAAGTAATTTGCTTGACTTCATGCAGAGTCCACCGGCAGCTACATCAGGATTTGGACCCAGGTTTATCTAACTCCAGAATTTGCTTAATTTACATATTGAAAGATAGCAAATTTCAGGTTGTCTAATACAGTGCCTGACTCATGTGTACTCAAGAGGCATTTAAATATAGAGTGTAATTCAAATTATTTTGTATGACATCTCTATATTCTAAAAGTATAAACAATATCTTGAACAGTATATTAAATTATATGTAAACAGAATATTGTGATTGCTTATTGCTACAGTATTCTTAGCATTGTGATATGGCAAAATCTTGAATATATTTCTTGCTTATTCCTAGCTACTCGGGAAGAAGAGATAGGAAGGTCACAGTTCAGCTGGGTAGGGGCGATCAGTAATTTCTAGAATAAATGCAGTCATGGTATTCAATATATACTATGTAAAAAATGAACTATGTGCCAGGCGCAGGTGGCTCACACCTGTAATCCTAGCTACTCAGGAGGCTGAGATCTGAGGATCACTGTTCAAAGCCAGCCCAGGCAGGAAAGGCTATGAGACTCTTATCTCCAGTTAACCACCAGAAAACCAGAAGTGGTGCTGTGGCTCAAGTGGTAGAGCACTATCCTTGAGCTGAAGAGCTGAGGGACAGTGCCCAAGCCCCATGACCACCACCCCCCTAAAAAAAAGAACTGTGCAACAACTTTTGGACAGGGATAGGAGAGGAAATGAGGGGGAGGCGGGGATGTGAAGGGAGGGGTCACATTGTCCAAGCAGAACTGTCTTCATTACCTGACTTATGGAATTGTAACCCCTCTGTACAACTCTGTACAACTTAATTTTTTTTAGTTAAGAAAATAAGCAACACAAAAAGAGACTAGAAGAATGGTTCAAGTGGTAGAACACCTGCCTAGCAAGCAGTAGGCCCTGAGTTTTAAACCTCAGAAGAGCTGGGTGCCAGAGGCTCAGGCCTGTGATCCTAGCTACTCAGGAGACTGAGATTTGAGTATTATGGTTAGAAACCAGCCCAAGCAGGAAAGTTCATGAGATTGTTTCTTATCTCCAGTTAACCACCAAAAAGCTGGAAGTAGAGCTGTGGCTTAAGTAGTAAAGTGCTAGCCTTGAGCACAAAAGCTTCGGGACAGCCCCCACATATATACACAGTTCAAGCCTCAGAACTGACACAGAACATCCTCGGAAAATTCTCTAGTTGTGATACCAAACTAAAAAGATTTTGGAGAAAGCCCAAACTAGTCAAATTAAACTTGAGTAGAGGAAATCTGGCTGCCCTCCAGGCACTGAAAGCCTTTGTTAGTCTTCACCCAGAGAAGGGATAATATCCTCCATAAAATCACTTTTTAGTGCTGGGGATGAACCCAGGTCCTTATGCATGCTGAGCAAGCTCTCTGCCACTGAGCTTCATCCACAGCCCTTGGTTTTTAAAAACATGATTTATCCTTGTAGCCCAAGCTAATATGGAACTCAGGATCCTCCTGCCTTTGCCTTGAGTGTGCTAGGTTTATAGGCATGTGCTACCATACCTGGCTTTGTGAAAGTTTTATGCTACTTTATCATATTTTCTTTTTGGGGGGAGGGGACTTTGATACTCTCAATAGGATAAATCATAACATGGCCCTTCTTTTATTTTCTGTTATTTAATTTATTCAAAAGTTGTTTGTGAGGGGCTGGGAAGGTGGCTCAGTGGTAGAGCACTTGCCTTGCATGCATGAGGCCCTGGGTTCAATTCCTCAGCACCACATAAGCAGAAAAAGCTGGACGTGGTGCTGTGGCTCAAGTGGTAGAGCACTCGCCTTGAGCTGAAGAGCTGAGGGACAGCGCCCAGGCCCAGAGTTCAGACCCCAAGACCGGCAAAAAAGAAAAAGTTGTTTGTGAAACTGCCTGCAAAACATCCGACACTGTCCTAGGTATTAGAGATGGGTGATAAAGCCCTTACTCTTACCTAGGCCTGGTGATGTTCATCTGTAATCCCAGCACTCGGGAGGAGGCAGGAGGATTGTGAGTTTAAGGTCAGTCTTAACTACTTAGTGAGACTCTGTCGCAAATAAACAAATAGGTAAAATAAAAATATAAAATGTACTCTCTCTTAAGTTTATAGCTAGGAAGAAGCAAAGTACTTAAACCACGTTGCAACACAGAATGAGAAGTGATCTGATGAGGACAGTATGTGGTACATGCCTGTAGTCCCAGCTAAAGCTGAAGGCAGAATTGGGAGGTTGAAGCTGGCTGGGCAATTTAGTGAGATCCTATCTCAAACTCAAATGTTAGTGGGGAAGGGGAGCCAGTTTAGAGCATTTACTTACATGCTTGAGATTCTGGGTTCAATCTCCACTACCACAAAAAAAAATAAATAACTACATAACACAGACTGTCTAGGAAGTATGACAGTAATGTGGAAATGTAAGCAAGAGCCAAGTGAAGAAGGGAGGAACACTGGAGTTCTAGACTAAAACAGCTTGTGTGAACAGCCCAAGGCAAGGGACACAGGAGGTTCTGGAGAACGCTCAGCTGAAGCTTCCCTTGCTGGGAGGAAAATGGCTGGAGCTAATGATGCTAGAGATAGGAACAGGAAGATGGACAGAGGCCAAGTTGCAGCAGGTCATACCCCCCGTGTTAAGGAACTTGGAACTTGGCATGACCATGGCCGGGTTGTTTATTCTATTTTCCTTGCTCGCTTTTTTTGTTGTGTTTGGTTGGTTTTTTGGGTTTGTTTTTGTGTGTGTGTGTGTGTGTGTGTTTTGCTATGCTGGGGTTTGAACTCAGGACTTTACACTTGCTAGGAAGTTGCTCTCTTGAGCCATACCTCCAGCCCTGAAGGGTTGAATGAGAAAATGCCATGTTCCACTGTATCGTTCCAACTGCTGTACAAGGGTGCCTAAAAAGAGAGTAAGGCTAGCGGAAACAGGCTCAGCACAGTTAGGGAAGAGATGATGGTTCTGCACCAAGCTAAAGTCAGGAAAGAGACATAGAAGGAGCATCACCTGTTTTTAGGTGGAACAAGGTGAAGATAATGCCCAGTTCGAGGGCTTGGGGAGCTAAAGGGCTATCCTGCTATTTTCTGAATAGCAGGTTGGGGAATAGCTTCTTGATTGTTTTGCCCATGAGAGTGTTGGATGGCACAGTCGAGGCAGTGTTCTGAAGAGTTGTGTGGGTGGATCTGGCCCAGGTCACTTTCCTACACCAGGAAGATGAGTGCAGAGATAGCAGTTAACAGTATTCGGAGTCAGCAGCATGAGAGAGAATGGAGCTTGCTGCCCAGCTATGAAGAATGCTTCCTACACAAAGCAGGAGTGGAGCTGCCAGTAGTGACCAAGGAGCATCCAGAGGCAGTGTGAAGTCTCACAAGCAAAGAAGAACAGGGAGGGGCTGCAGGGTCAGGTACCACTGAAATAGGAGGTACAAGAAAAAATGATAGGATTTAGCCACACAAGGTAGCATAGTGCCTGTGATCCTAACACGCAAGAGGCTAATAAGGCAAGAGGATCTTGGGTCTTGCAAGGCCAACCTGAACTACATAGCAGTATCTTGTTACCAAAAAACAAAAAAAAAGAGCGGGGAGTAAATAAAAAGACTTAGCAAAAGCCAGGTATTGGTGGCTCACACATTCAGTACTAGCTACTTAGGAGGCTGAGATCTGAAGATTGCAGTTCAAAGCCAGCCCAGGCATGAAACTCCAAAAGACTCTCATCTCTAATTAACCACCAGAAAACCAGAAGTGGTGCTGTGGCTCCAAGTATAGTTTTTTGCCTTGAGTGAAAAAGCTCAAGGATAGCACACAGGCCCTGAGTTCAAGCCCCCAGACTGCGGGGGAGAAGGGGAATTTAGCAAGAAGGACATCATTGATGTCTTGATAGGAATAATTCCACTGTAGAGGAGGGGAAGTCTAGATTACCTGGAGCAAGACAGAAGGAGTCCTCTACTCATTCATCTCTCATATGTTCTGTAAGCATGTGTGAAAGTGGGTGTGAATTGCAGGCAGGTATGTGTAGAAATAGTGTGCTCTGTACTAAATAACTGCTTCTATTTCCTTAAAGCTAGAACTGGATGGTGAGCAAGTCGAGCTGCCTAATTTGGAAGGTATTATTGTTCTGAATATTGGCTACTGGGGCGGTGGCTGCAGACTCTGGGAAGGGATGGGAGATGAAACTTACCCTCTAGCCAGGTATGTGTATTTGCACTCTAGTTTGTTTGTTGGTTTATTCTGTTTGAAACAGTTTTCCTTATAGCCCAGACTGGAACTTAGCCCCAAGTGTCCTCACATTCAAGATCCTACTGCTGTAGCCTCCCAAGTACTGGGATTACAGGAGTATGTCATTTGCCTCACTGCGGTCTTATGTCAGTTTTCATTAAAGCATGCATTGTTCTTTATATGACTTTCACAGTTTTTCTTTAGATTTTCACTTCTATATATTTCATTAACATCAATATTGTATTAAAAAAAAGTAACTGCCATTCCATGGTTGACTTCATTTTGCCCCACCATATAATTCATGTTTTCCTCTTCCAATGTTAGGCATGATGACGGGTTGCTGGAAGTCGTTGGTGTGTATGGGTCTTTCCACTGTGCTCAGATTCAGGTGAAACTGGCAAACCCTTTTCGAATAGGACAGGCGCATACAGTGAGGGTAGGTGAAACAATGTCATAACAGGCCAGTGTTCCCAGTTCACATAGAAGATACATAGAAGGCTCATGTGCTGGTCACTTTTGCTGGGACTTTAGTGAGGAAGGAAGAAATGGGAAGCATGGCCCTCAGTCCAGCTGAAGAAATAAAGTGTTGGCTAGAAAAGAGTCACTAAAAAAATCCATAAATAAAAACACAGTCAGATTAACTTTATAAAGATGAAATGCAACCTGTGGCTCACACCTGTAATCCTAGCTACTCTGGAGGCTGAGCTCTGAGGATCACAGTTCAAAGCCAGCCTGGGCAGGAAAGTCCGTGAGACTCATCTCTAATTAACCACCAGAAAATGGGAAATGGCATTGTGGCTCAAGTGGTGGAGTGCTAGCCTTGAGCTGAAGAACTCAAGGATAGCGCTCAGGCCCAGAGTTCAAGCCCCATGACCGACCAAAAAAAGAAAAAAGCTGAAATGCAGAAAGGTTAGTGACCATGTGGATCATACTAGTAAGGCAGACTTTACTTTCCTGGAACTGACTTTTCTAATTATTTGTTTCCTGATCAGCTGATTTTGAAGTGCTCAATGATGCCAATGCAAGTAGATGGGGAGCCGTGGGCCCAAGGACCCTGCACTGTCACCATAACTCATAAGACACATGCTTTGATGCTCTATTTCTCTGGAGAACAAACGGACGAAGACATCTCTAGTGCTTCAGATCAAGAGGACATAAAGGAAGCTGAGTAACTGCATAAGGAAATGAACTGTTCTGCTAGCACAGCATCTGCACAAATATGCAGATGCATGCACATCCAGAAGTAGAGCTTCTCCAGCTGCTATTCAGTCCTAATTTTCCTCAGAGTACAATGGGCACACATTTATGTAAATAGCATTCCCAAACAACCAGATGTCCTGTAACTACAACAGCTGTTCTTTTTTTCAACAAGATACTTTGATCATATATTACTAACTTTGAAAACATCACAGAAAGTTACATGGAGACAAAATGCTTTTGAGAGTGGGGCTCACTGAAGTTTGTTTGCACTGTTTCATTCCGTACTGTTGAGCCACACATTTGATGGAAGGATATGAGTGGAAAGATCATTTCCCTCTTAACTTTGAATGGTAACACTTTACCATTAACTTGGAAATGATGTCTGTTAAACCAGCAAGGTTAAGATGGGGCATCCTCCTGTAGCATGCCTCTTCAGATTTCTCACAGCCCAATCTGAATGGATCCAGGAACTTCCTGAAGGAGCAATGTCAAAGTATGACAATTCTGAAAACTTCTGAAGTCATTTTTAGACTCTTGAGATGTTTTGTTAACCCTCTAAATAACCATGTTGAATTGATATTCAGGATCCTTTTTTTTTCTTTTCAGTAGTACCAGAGATTGAACTCTAGTCCTCATGGAGAAGGAATTCTAGGCACGTGCTCTACCACTGAGCTATCCCCTCCCTCCCCCAACATCTTTTTTTGTATCCAAAGAGAACTATCCTGAGTGCATGCACTAGTACCACAAAAAAACAGAAAAAAAGAAAAACTGGGTAGGATAATTGGTCTAAAATAAGATTGAGAGCACTTTTTTATAGTGTCACTGGAGGTCAAGCCCAGCTGTTCCTATGCTAGCATTGTTCATACCACTGAGCACCCCAGCCAAAGATTTAGAGCACTTCAGGTATAACGGTTCTCCAATTTTTCTTGATTGAAAGGCTGTGCCAACAATGAAAAAACTATATGCTTAAAGGAACCTTGCCAGTCAGATTAGTTGCTCAGAAAAAAAAAAAAAAGTTCAAGGCTGATGCATGTTTTTAGCATTCAGTGATCTTGTAGTACTTTGAAATCCAATAGTTTTTTTTCTATGTGAAGCACTTAACAGAATTTCTGCCTTGGGGAGGTAAGTGGACAGAAACCTCTGCTGAAACTTTATATATTTATTTTAAAATGAGATAGAGATATATTTTGAACTTATTTATTATTTACCTGTGGCATGATACTTGTGTTTTTGTTTACACATATCATACAGCTTTATTTAATAAGTTCAACTGGTCACATAAGTTCTAGCCACCATCAGATAAAAATTTATTCTTTTGACCAAGTAACTGAAATTATTATTTAATTCTGACAAGTCTTTTGTGGCACTGATAAACTTCTTTTGGCAGGTTAACTGCACTTTGTTTCCCTGCTGAAAGTCAGGCAATTCTATGACTGTCCATTAGAGAGTGCTCTTCTGCTGTTTTCAGCCAGCCTGCTTATACAGTTAGGCACACTCAGTGGGTGTCCAATTTTGTTTTTCTGACAAATGCCAATTTGTAAGCTTGGTGACCTTTCATGATTTTAATCTCTAAAGATGATAATTCATTCCCCAAAACATGTAAGGGGCCAGTATGAATGTATTATCCATGAATTGCCATGAATTTTTATTTGAGTCACCTCAGGCCCAAGCAGTGTTTCAAAAAGGACCACTTAAGTAGTAAGGGGTATGTTACATTAAACGGTTTATCTTGCTAAGTTAACTTCTTCCAGATCTCCATAAGTCATGCCAAATTCTAGTCTGGAATGATTTTGATAAGAAAGTTGTTTTTGGCTTTTTATAAAGCTTTCGCAGGGAATATCCACGGTGGTGGTGATGGAACAATTTCATGGATTTTCTTTTATGAGCTGCTTATATTTTCAGCAAAATCAAGCTTTTCATTTGTGATCAAAATTGTTATATATATATATATATATATATATCATTGTTAAATTCACTTTGCCAAAGGTCATACCTCTGATTGGTAATGCTAATTTGTAGTGGAAGCAAAGTAAATAATTTAGGATGTCAATATTCATATAAAACAACTACATAGTTTTTTTTTAACTACTGAAACTACTGTACTGTATTGCTACACTGGATTTAGAACAAGTTCATGTACATATCTATTTATTGAAACAATTATTTTCAATTATAATCCAATGAAGTGGACTCTTTCCCCCTACTGACCATTAGGTTTTTCTGTTGTCTTATTCATTTGTTCAGATTAGTTTTTATTTAGGAAAATTATTTCAGAACACTATGTCATAAATCATACCATTATTTTAGCAAAATTTACTCATATTTTTAGGTATTAGTTTACCCAGCATTGCAGATAACTAGGCATGTGCCTTGTTTAAATAAATACAGTTTGTAGAACTTCATGTTTGCAAGTTACATATTAAGGTAATAATTGTTTATATGACCAGTAACTCTTTATGAAATAATTCACAAGCTTTTGTCCCATTTCAAATTGTCCTGATATTAAAAAAAATAACTTACATTCTCAGGAAGAAATGTTTGAAGTAAATTATACGTCTTTGTCTTCACATTTCTCTCATCTTTCACTAGTCCAACACATTCCTTCTCATCAACATAGTGGCTTCAATACTGAATACCTGGCAGCTCTTACAGATCTCTTAGGTAGATGATGAAATTTTTTAGTGCTTTGTTATGGTTAATGGAAGTCAGAGACTTCTGTTTAAAATATAAGTTGTAAGATTATGTAATTTTAGGTTTTCTGAAACAACTAGCTATGAACTCTTAATGTTGCTAATGTTTGTAAAAATTTTATAGTTCAAAGTATTTATTTTTATTTTTTTAGGGTATGTCAAAAACAAGTATTTGTTTTTTGAAATACATTTGACAGCTTAGATTTGTAATATAGACTGTGACTCAGAAATCACAGACCTTTTTGTGCAGTAAAAGTGAGTACTACCAGCATGTCAAAAGACAAATAGTTTGCATTTGTAATAGAAAGTAAAATTGTTTCTCATGTATATTATGCAATTTTTAATTTGCACTATGTAGGTGACTTTAAAAGTTATTAATTTACATGCTAATATAGGCCCAAATACAAAATGTGGCCAAAAGAGTCAATAGAAAAGGTTTTGTGTATGTGTTTTTTTTTCTTCAAAATAATGATAACTGAAGCAAAAACCAGCACTTTATGTTCAGAATGTTTTTGGGGAATGAGGTTAATCTGTTTTTTTTTAAATTCTACCCAATTTAGGACAATGGAATGTTAAGTAAATTTATTTTTTTAATTTAGAAATTCAAAAGAAAAAATAGTTTTTTTTTACTGTCCCAATCTGATGAAGGTCCCTGTTCCTCAGTGAGACAGAGTGGCTGCTCTGGTCTTGCCCCTCCTCCCTCAGATCATCCCTGGTTCACAGGGTGTTCCCTGCAGGTGTCTGTAGCTTCAGTCAGGCAAGCAGGATTCCTGAGCCCACTCTTGGCTTAAAGAATCGTTATCTCTGGAGGTAGCAAACACCCAGAAGCTTCCAGTGCTCCTGGAACTTGAAGGCTGCTGCTCCATACCTCATATGTTCACCCAGGGCTTTGCCAGGGCCATAGTGGCAAAGATAATTGAATGTTCTTAAAGTTGTTTTTCCTTTACCCTGCTAACTGTTCTTTCCTCTCACAATCATTGTCCTGAAAGGAATCTGTGAGAAACCTGTCTGTAGCCAGGTATGGTTGTACATGCCCATAATCCCAGCACTCCCAAGACTTGAGATCCAGGCCAGCCTAGGCTTCAAAAATAAAAAACGTGTTTGTATCCAAATGTATATATTTTCTATGTATGTAGACAGCAGACCAGTGTGGCTGCAGGAGCTAGTGAAGGACCCTGTTGGAGGTGAGCGTTGGAGGCACCTGCCTTCTCAGTTGAGTCATTTACAGACACAGCACATGCTTGAGGAGCACAGCAGGTGAGATGCTTCCGCTATTTAACAGGGTTTCTATTTTTAAAAAAGATTTTGAAGTCACTGCTATAATGGACGTCACTTGGTTGATTTTTCTACTGACTTTTGCATATTCAGAAACCTGTGTTTTTTATTAGACTGTCTTGGAGGTTTCAGTTGCTGCTTTGAAAGCTGACGCTTGGGTGTTTCACAAAGTTTTCAAAGGCATTCTGATGTAAACAAAGCAACAAACTTAGCCACTCTTCCTTGCGTGTTGAAATTACCTACTTTCACATATGTACATATATGACTCTTGCTGTGGGTCAGTGTGTGAGCCCCATATCTCTCAAAAAGGTAGATTCTGAGGTTCTGGGAGGAAATCTTTAAAAGTTGCCCTCTTAATACAGAAGTTCACAAGATGTAATTGAACCACTGACCTTAGCAGAAACTTAATACCATGTTGCTGACAGAGTATGGAAAAGGAGAAGTAGGAGTTAGATTGTTTGCGTTGGTCCTCTGTCTTTGCCCAGGTGAGAAGGAATCATTTGCTGAGCATGTCTGGCTGAGATCAAGCCCACAGTAAGGCAGGGCACTGTGCAATTGGATGATGTGGCACAGAATCTTGGTTCTCATTGTTAAGCTCTGGCCTTTGCCAGCTGTCCTTCCAATTAGACCTGCTTGATAGAGATAGATGGGCACTCTGGATTGAAATTCTGTTCCTTAAAGTTCAGAGCAGCCTAGCTGAGGCCCTGGTTCCCAGCACTCTTACAAGGACCCAAACTGCTTGGATCTGTTAACCGACAGTGTTGAGAACAGTAGAGCAATCTCATAGCCTCTTGTCCTTTACCCTCAGACCACAATGCTAGCACCTACCACTTAATTTTGGTGTTAATGGATTTTGTTGAGTCTGTATTGATGCCATGCCTACAGACTGAAATGTAAATGAAAGCAGTCAGTCTGTCAGAGATGTTTGCTTGTTTGCTTGTTTTTTAATAAAAGTGCAGCCCTCATAAAATGTACAATACTGTGTTGAGTTTGGGTTGGTTTTTGTTTTGTTTTGACACAAGAGTGAAATAAATTAAGAAGCCTTGAGTTTGTTTCCAGCAATATCATTGGTCCACAACAGGGAAAACATACCATTTGGCAAGTTCTCAGGTATGTTCCTTTTTTTTCTTTTTTTAAATCTTATTTTATTGTAAAGATGCTGTACAGAGGGGTACAGTTATGAGGAAGGCAATGAGTACATTTCTTGTCGAGTATTGTTACTCCCTCCTTTGTTGTTCTCCCACTATCCCTTCCCTCCCCCACTCAGGTATGTTTCTGTAGAAAGAAAATTACAAAACTAAGCCAGGCGCCAGTGGCTCATGACTGTAATCTAAGCTACTCAGGAGGCTAAAATCTGAGGATTGAGGTTCAAAGCCAGCCTGGGCATGAAAGTCCATGAGACTCTTATCTCCAATTAACCACAGGAAACCAAAAGTGGCACTGTGGCTCAAGTGACAGAGCACTCACCTTGGGCTAAAATGCTCAGGGACAGTGCCCAGGACCAGAGTTCAAGCCCCATGACCAACAGAAATTATAGAATTGTGTGGTATGTGTGCCAGTACTAGGGCTAAAACTCAAGGCTAGGTTGGCTTTGTGTGTGTGCATGTGTGTGTATGCATGCATACATACATGTGCACACATGCAAATACTGGGGCTTGAACTCAACCTATCCTCTTGCTCAGCTTTTTCACTTAAAGCTATTGCTCTACCGTTTGAGCCACACCTCCTTATTTTTGTTGGTTAAGGAGATATGAGTCTCACAAATTTGTTCTAGCTGCTTTTCAATCATGATTCTAAGCTCTCAACCTCCTGAGTTAGCCAGGTGCAAGCTTGGTGCAAGCCACTGGTGCCCAGAAGGCCATGCACACACATCTCAGCAGATGCCCTGCCGCTGAGCCATGCCCTCTATATTATCTTTGAAATGAAAATAAACATATATCTGGAAACAAGAAGAAGAAAAAAAAATAAAATTTATAATGCCTCTGTCCTGTAATCCCAGCCTTCAGAAGACTAAAACAGGAGGATTACAAGTACAAGTCCAGCCTGGGTGACATAGAATCTATCTTTTATTTTAAAAAAAAGTGCATGTTTTCTTTCATATGGAAGCCAGATCGAAAATATACTAGGACATGATAACATAGGACGCTATACATTCACAAACAGTGAGACCATAGGACTCTATATATTCACAAACAGTGAGACCAAGGAGGATACTCAGAAGAGGAGCACAGTGGGTACCAGTCTGTAATCCTAGCCACACAGGAGACTGATATTTGAGGATCACAGTTCATTCCAAGTCAGCCCTGGCAGGAAAGTCCATGAGACTCTAATCTCCCATAAACTAATCAGAAAAAACTGGAAGTGGTGCTATAACTCAAGTGGTAGAGTGGTAACCTTGAGCACAAAGAGGCTCAAGGACAGAGCTCAGGCCCTGAGTTCAAGCCCCAGGTCTGGAAGGAAAAAAAACACAAAGGCACAATGCCTATGTGCATCTGATCATACAGTCATCAAAATGAATTCCAGGAAATGGAAATGAGAGGTTTATTCTTTGTTGCTGTTTGCATTCTCTTATTGTCTTGTTTGTTCATTTACATGTTTTCAGAAGGGTAAAGAGTGGCACAGAAATCTAGAGACACTGTGTTGAAAATGAACTATACAACTTGTGAGTAGTGACCAGAGAGAGTTAGGGAAGAGGTGACATTGTCCAAAAAGAAATGTCCTCTACTGCCTTACATAACATAATGCCCACCTATACATCACCTTTATAATAACAAAAAAAAATATGGTCACAAACTGACTGAAGGAGGTTATACTTGGAGGAAGAATCCAAAGGCATAACTCTTGAACAACTAATGTTTTGTTTATCAAAACAAATGCCGAGGGGCTGGGAAGGTGGCTCAGTGGTAGAGTGCTTGCCTTGCATGCCTGAGGCCCTGGGTTTGATTCCTCAGCACCACATAAGCAAAAAGAAAAAGCCAGAAGTGGCGCTGTGGCTCAGGTGGTAAGGCACTAGCCTTGGGCTAAAGAGCTGAGGGACAGTGCCCAGGCCCAGAGTTCAGGCCCCATGACCAGACCCAAAAAAAAAAAAAAAACAAATGCCAAGAAGTAGAAACACATTTTGGGAGTGGGAAGAGGAGAGTACAGGAATGGAGAGAGAGAGGAAGGGTGAGCAAATATAGTCATATTTAATGTACATTATGTAAAAACATGAATTATGTAATGAAGATAGGGACAGGAGGGAGCAAATATGTGGCTTTCATAGCCTGGAATTACTGCTAGTGCAGATATGCTAAGAGAAACACCATTCCTGTAATCTCAGCACTCAGAAGCCAGAGGCAGGAAGATTCTGAGATTGAAACCAGTCTGGACCATATAGGGAGATCCTACCCAAAAAAAATAATTTATGCAAGGCATCAGTGGCTTATGCCTATAATTCAAGCTACTCAGGAGGCTGAGATCTGAGGATCATAGTTCAAAGCCAGCCTGGGCAGGAAAGTCAGTCATATCTCCAATTAACCACCCAAAAGCCAGAAGTGGAGCTGTGGCTCAAGTGGTAGAGTGGTAAGTGCTACCCTTAAGCGAAAAAAGCGTAGGGACCAGAGGGGGGTGGGGAAGATGGGAAGGGATGAGAAGGAGAAACAAAGGAAGAGGCAACAATGCTTGATAAGAAATGTACTCATTACCTTGCTCATGTAATTATAACCCCTCTGTATGGTATTTTCACAATTTAAACACACACACACACACACACACACACAGGTTCTGGTGGCTCACACCTCTAATCCTACCTACTCAGGAAGCTAAGATCTGAAAATCGCAGTTCAAAGCCAGCTTGGGCAGAAAAGTCTATGAGATCCTTCAATTAACCAGCAAAAAGCTGGAAGTAGAAGTATGACAAATACTAGAGTACCAGCCTTGAGCAAAAAAGCTAGAATTTGAGACCCCGAGTTCAATGCCTGGTACTGGCACAAAAGGATATATTTTAAAATACATATATTGGTAGATGTTTCTTGTATTAGGTGCCAGGACTAAGATTGATGATAAGGCCCATAAAAGGAAATGTCCTATACCAAGGAAGCCCACTCAGTGTGGACTTGGGTGTAGCTCAGAGGTACAAAGTGTATTTAGCATGGGCCCTGGATTCCATCTCCAGCACCACAAAAAAGAAAAGAAAAGAAAAATTACTCAGAAGAGGGCTGGGAAGATAGCTCAGTGGTAGAGCGCTTGCCTTGCATGCATGAGTCCCTGGGTTCAATTCCTCAGCACCACATAAGCAAAAAAAAAGCCAGAAGTGGCGCTGTGGCTCAAGTGGTAGAGCGCTAGCCTTGAGCTGAAGAGCTGAGGGACAGCGCCCAGGCCCAGAGTTCAGGCCCCATGACCGGACCCAAAAAAACAAAAAAAAAAAATTACTCATAAGAGCAATTTGGAGATTTTGATGAGTTGAAAGTATAACACATTGATTATAAATAAAAATTTAGCCATGCACCAGTGACTCACACCTGTAATCCTGACTACTCAGGAGGCTGAGATCTAAGGGTTGCAATTCAAAGCCAGCCCTGGCAGAAAAGTCCCTGTAAGACCCATCTCTAATTAACCACTCAAAAACAGGAAGTGGAGCTGTGGCTCAACGTGGTAGAGTACTAGCCTTGCACAAAAGCTCTACTGCCCACTCAAGGACAATATCAAGGCCCTGAGTTCAAGCCACACAA